AAAAAAAAACAAAAAACACAAAGAAACTCGTACGAAAGAGACGGGGAACGACGCTCATGAACTTTTCAGGGATAAACGCGGCAAGTGGTCGGAGTCGTCGAGACAACACGAACCTCAACGATCAAACTCAACTCGACAATTACGGGCATCGCATCGCAGATTCGGCTGGTAGTCGGAAAAAGAGAAAATAAAAAAAAAAAAAAAAAAAAAAAGAAAAAGGAACGAATCACTCGCGTGTTCTTTCAATAAGCCCGAATAATTGTTTCCGTAGATATTTGTCGGCCACGCGATCGGTCTCTTCGCGTCTCTCCAATAATAAATCGCTCGAGGGTATCCGCTACGTCGGTGGTCACCTGTTCTTTTTTTCGTTTTCGTATCCGTTTCTCTCTCTCTCTCTCTCTCTCTTTCGCTCTTTCCCTCCTCCTCCCTCCTCTGCCATTTATAACCGGAATCTGCCGCGATCCGTCGCTTCCGCGTTCTCCATAACGGCCACATTGTAAACACATAAAGATAATAAATATGGATGGAAGGTGTCTCTTATCTCCTCGTCTCGCGATCGTCTCGCTCTCGCTCTCGGTTTCTCTCCAGGAAGCACTTAAAAGATTCAAGACCAAGGATCGATCGATCAATCGATCGATCGTGTTGTTGCCGCCGGTTAACGCACGATCGACCGTGCAAACAGCAATTGATCGCGGACCAATGGACCAGGATGTGCCTTCGAGTCGGCTGAGCATGGGAAATGACAATACCGGGAATCGGTTGATCAAGAGGGCTAAGCAAGTATATAGGAGTATAAGGAATATATATAAAATATATCAGCAGAGAAATGAATTTTCACTCTATGGGAGTGGTGATGGTAATATTTACCTGGGTTGCTGCCGGTTGCTGATGGAGCCGAGGCTGCTGGAATTGATAAAACCAGACGAATGACACTGAGCACTGTACGATGACGGCCTTATATATCCGTTGAGGCCAGATTCATCCCTCGGACGAAGGAAACCCCGCTGCCTATCTTACCTTAATTCGATTTCTTCGATTTCCTGCACTCTCTCGGCAATCGTTCGGTTGCGGAAATTTCGATCGATCGTTAGTCAGATTGCTTAAAGAGGATCTCGCTGTATCCGGTTCCGCTGCTGCCAACCGACATTCACTGATAACCGCTGTTAGTGAAACACTTTTAATTCCGAGTTTAAATCCGAAGGAGGAAATTTTAATTCAACAACCTAGATGAGATTCGAAAGGATCTGGATAGTTTGGCTAGAAAGAATTCAACTCGTCATTTTGCAGCTTGTCAGCTTGTTTTATTTATATCGCCTGTTGCAAAAATGTTT